TTGAAGTATATTGTGGGAACCCAGAATAGTTCACCCACAAATAGCAAGACTTGTTGAGCCAAATGCAATTAAAAAGGAGCAGATACAAGAAAGTAGTCTCTCCTCCTTCCATTTGCCAAAAAGCAGGATATAGATTTACAAAGACAAAAAGCCATCCCCCTTCCTCACTACAGGGAACAAAGGTTAACTACTGAAGGAAACTTCAGACTCTGTACCATCTGTACTTTAGTACCATCTGTACTTTGATGGTACTAAAGCTTCACTAGCTAGCCTTATTTGCTGTTTGCCTTTCTACAATTTGCCGCCCCTAGGGGCTCAAAGACCTCTTCTTCTATCTTGTAACTTCTCTAAAAATTTACTGCTTTTTGTTGAAGATGCCATTTGAGCAAGAATTTAAAGCCACCTGTTTGAGAATTACTCATTCCTGGTTGCTTCTCACGCATAAATGAAATACACTATTTCTCCTGTTCATTTGTCTTTTGCTACAGGTGTCCATTTCCAACTAAGAACCTTTGAGGATTGAAGAAAAAATTACTTTTCTTCTCTTATGATAAAAAGATAACTTGACCTTAATGCAAGTTGGAAAAGGGAACAGTATTTCAAACTCTCTTTTAAGATACATAAGGAAAAATAAAAATAGTAATAAGATAGCTGGGAATGTTGTTCTTTGAAACTATATCAAACTCAAGAAGTGGTGTTATTTTTTTTTAAAGATCAGTTATATTAAAATCTGAACTTAATCTATCTTGCACTTTAAAAGACATGTGTTAAAGTACTGATAGTTAATAAAATTCTTTTTACTGCATTTTTCAATACATTATTTTCTTTTGAAAACAACCTCTTCTTGAAAAGGTTCAAGATAGGAGGACATTAGGAAGCAGGGCTTAGGTAAAATCCAAGCTGTTGTCTTAAGCTGTGAACTTTGGTTAGCATCTGACTGCAGGTATCTAAATTACGACCAATGTGATTCAGCAACCTGTACACTCAGAAAAAGGAGTAATTATACCCCATTTGATTCAAATGTATGATATGTCAAGATCATTGTACTGTCATGTGTAACTAATTAAAACAAAAAAAATTACACTGTGCTCAATGACTCAAGATCATACATAGAAATTATTGGATTCCTATTCAAGGATATTTCTACTAAGTATATATATGTTCTTCTCTTTATCTTCTGTCACATAGTATCTATTCTAAACTTCAGCAGAAGATTCCTCACAAAAGGATTTTTACTGTCTTGTACCAAATTCACACTGTTTGCTCAATATAAGTTCCCACTTTCCCTGCCTTCTTCAGCACACTGGTTCAGAACTCTCTCAACCTGTTGTCTCCAGAACTGTAATACCTGACTCTAAATAAAGTCTTCTTTACTTTCGCAGTTTCTGAGTTTGAATTGATTAATACATTCATGTATAATTTTGTAAAATCACATCGGTGGGTAATAATAGTTTACTGAATTATATTTTGCATGTACTTCCTATTTTATCATACAAAATATTTTAAAAGATGTGTATTAAAGTATTAATGGTTAATAAAATTCTTTTTATTGCACCCTCAATACATCAAGAACATTCTTACATGAAACTACCTTTTAAAAATTAAACTGCAGATGTGTAGAGAAAAAAGAAGATAATGATTTATTACTTGTAAGGTTTGATGCAACTGTCTTGATTCATGTTAAGGAGGCAGCTTTAATCATCACTGCTTTTACAACAATAGTGTAAATGTCAACATGGTGAAACAGGCAAATATAGTCTTTGTACGAATATAAAAATAGATGTGAACTTGAAGAAACAGACTCTATAAGGGGCTCAGGGACTTCCAGAGGTTCTCAAAGCTTGGTTTGAGAATCATTGCATAGGCTGTTGGCTAGTATAAGGGAAGAGTATATAGGTGGCACCTGCCTGTAATCTATCTACACAGGAGAAGAGGTTTGGAGAAGACTAAGGAAGAAGAATTCCAAATTCAAGGTGAGCCTTGGCAATTTAGCGAGGCCCTGTCTCAAAAATAGAAAAAAGGGCTGGGGATATAGCTCAGTGGTAGAATATCCCTGAGTTCAATCCTTAGTACTGCCAACAACAACTACAAAAACTCTGACCCACAACTAGCTTGTGTTTTTGAAAATTGATAATAAAATACAATGACCCAAGACCTATAAAAATTTGCAAATTCTGTTAACTCCTAAATCTAAATGGCATTTGAAAACTCAACCCTTATTAGGAAGTCATCTGCTAGTAAAGATTTAAATAGAACAATGTAAAACATCTGTTGAAAGAAAATACATGTTCTTGTGACATTGATAAATTTAGGATAGTACAAAGATCTCAGGACAATTCCTCACTATTGTTAATAATATTTGGCTATAAAAGAAGCTCACACATTTATTTTTCTATTACTTTGTATTCTGTAATCTCACATAAGTCATCTAGTTCCATTTTGATAAAATGAATCAAAACAAAAGTACTAAAACCACAGAATACCACAGTGATCCATTAATATCTATCCAATTATTTATGGAGTTTCTTTTGGCGGGACAGGTACTGGGGATTGAATGCAGGGATCAACCACTAAGCCACATCCCCAGCCCTACTTTGTATTTTATCTAAAGATGGGGTCTCACTGAGTTGCTTAGCACCTTGCTTTTGCTGAAGCTGGCTTTCAACTTGTGATCCTCCTGCCTCAGCCTCTGGAGCCACTGGGATTACAGGCATGAGCCACCATGCCAGGCCTATCTGATTATTTGTAATCTTTTTTCCCTCAAAGTAACTGAATTCAAATTATCAGTGTTGGTAAATATCAAAATGTAAACGCACCACTGGGCTGTTTAGACACTACCTAGAGGGAGCAGCAGTGGTAGCAATGTGAGTAGTTAATAATTACTTGAGCCATCATTTATATGCATACCATACTTTATAGTTTTAAAATACTTCACAGTTCAATTTCACATTGATTTTTGCAAGTAGGTAGGTATATTTTTTTTAAGTAATTTTAAGCCCGAGGATTTTTTTTTTTAAACTCCTTTTGAAAATGCTTTTTCATTTGAAACTCTCTGGTCATGAGCACTTCTCCACTTCTCCAACTCTCTCTCAAAAACAGATATTCATAATGATGAGTGTGAGCTCCTCAAAATTCCGAAGAATGTTTCCGATTTTTTTCTAGGTAAGATTCAAACATATTAAAAAAAAAGTTAATAGTATTTTTGTTTTTATTGCTACATAAGAACAAGAATTGAACATATTAATGGACACTATGTGATGTTTTGATACATGTAGACAATGTATAATCAACTTAAACATAACTACCTCCTCAAACATATATCACTTCTTTAGAGTGAAAACATTCAAAATTCTTCTTCTAGCTGAGACACATGGTACACAATGACCATCTATAGTCATTCTATGATAAAAGCATTTAAAAATTTCCCAAGTGAGACTCAACAATGAAGGTAATAATTTCTCATTTATGATTTTTCCTATGGTTGTGAACATCATCATGTTTGTTCTAAATTTCACCAGATTTATTCTTTTATTCTGACAGCCCTTTTCCTTAACTATGTCAGCCAATTTTCAAATTGTCATAAGCAAAATTTTATATATTTAGAAAACACTTAAATGCCTATTTTGTTTATTAGTTGGCATAAATACTGTTCAGACTAAAGAATCATGCCAGTATTTGATACAATTGCATTCACTAAAACCAAAAGTTGTCATTTTTCAGGTTGTACTTTCTCACCATAACTCCCACATAACTAAAACATAAGGAGAGATCTAGTGATACCATTATTAGTGGGCTCTGCTATGCATCCAATCATTCCAGTAACAGTCATCTTTATTACTTTACTCACATAAAAGGGATTTTTAAAAGTGAGGCTTTAATTGGACATGTAATAAGTCAAATTACATTTTTATAAATATGTGTTGATAGGACAGTTTAATTTCACAAACAGACCATCATTAAAGTCAATTTAATCTATATCAAAGAAATATTAATGTTTCTATCTATACTTACGAATCTTAAAATCATTTTGTTTTTAATCTTTGTTGAAATGACTACCAACAGTATTAATATTCCCACTCATTTCACATCATCTGTAGTGATTCAAAGAATTAAAGTAATAGGAAAACCCTGTGGGAGTTCAATGTAAATTTTTTTGTATCCACCACCTTGATTCTGTTGTACAGATCACATGGTTGACTTAAATCAAAATATGTGAAATATGTTTTAAATTTGTTCTTTTATTCTTCAAGTTCACTCAGTCTCCATGTGCTTAGTCAAAGCTGTATCATGTACATAGATGAAGAAGAAAAAGTGGATCAATTGAATGAAAATGATGAAGGGTCAAAAGTACACTATTAATATCTTTGACTTATCAAGGTTCATTAAGAAACAACTTAATTAAAATTTGTTTTGATATTGATGCCTGTATTCTCAAATCCTGGAAAGCCATTCTTTACCATAAGTGATGCAATTTAACAAACTTTTTTTTCATAAGTTATAGTCATACTATAATTTTCTCATAAAAACAAAGAACTGCCTGGTGTGGTGGTACACACCTGTAATCCCAGCATCTGGGGATGCTAAGACAGGAGGATCACAAGTTTTGAGGACAGCCTCAGCAACTTAGCAAGGCCTTGAGCAAATTAGCAAGACCCTAAATTTTTCCAAGGAATTTTAAGTTTTAACCCAAGGGGCACTTAGCCACTAAGCTGGATCCCCAGCCCTTTTTATTTTTTGAGAGAATCTCACTAAATTGCTTAGGCCTCACTAAGTTGCTAAGTCTGACTTTAAACTTTAAATCCTCCTGCCTCAGTCTCCCAAGGTAGTGGGATTGCAGGCCTATACCACCACACCAGTATGAGACCCCATCTCAAATTAAGAAATTAAAAGTTCTGGGGATGTAGCTCAGTCATAAAGTCCCTTGACTTTTCAATCCCCAGTAGCAAACCAAATCAAATTAAAAAAAAAATGAACTATGACAATAAAAGGATAGCACAATCTAGTTATTATTCTTTTATTTATTTTTCAGAAAATAAGGGAAGTCACATTCTAATTTAAAATAACATAAATGTTGAACATTACAATGAAATGTCTGCTGTCATATCTGCAGACCTCTTAGAAGCCACTGTGATTGTAGACATCGGCATGTTTGTTCCAATTTCACCAGATTCATTCCTTTTTTGTGATAAATGGTTTTACTTATGGAAGTGGTTATGAATTGTCCAAAATAAAAATGACTCAACCATTTTTCAATATGTAGAAAGAAACAAGTAGCTCATTTTAATATCAATTTGAGATTTTTCTGTAAAAAAAAGTCTGAAATTAATTCAGTCTGTTCTTTTAAATGGGGATCTTAAGAGACCTAAAAGTGGGCTGGGGATGTGGCTCAAGCGGTAGCGCGCTCGCCTAGCATGCGTGCGGCCCGGGTTTGATCCCCAGCAGCACCACATACCAACAATGATGTTGTGTCCGCCGAGAATTAAGAAAAAATAAATAAATGTTAAAATTCTCTCTCTCTCTCTCTGTGCCCCCCTCTCTCTCACTCTCTCTTTAAAAAAAAAAAAAAAAAGAGACCTAAAAGTATGACTCCACTTGTAACACACTAATAAAGTTACTTTTAACACAAAATAATTCCATCGTTGATTATTAGCTCTCAAAACAGCAATGTTGCTCTTCCAATATGGTATTATGTTGTCTTCACTATTATACCAATAGGTGAGTATGATATAGTAAGTCAAAATCAGCACTAGTTAGCTAAGGGTAACTTAAATTACATTGACTGATAATCTAAATTAAAACTATTATTTGTAAGGTTATCATCACTTCACCTTGTATGTGAGTTACACTTCAGATTTCACTTTTACACTAATCAGAAATCTCTGCATTTTCCTCTAGTGGTTTAAAAGACTGTTGAGTTTACATTTGGTATGATACCACAAGTAATTTTTTAAAAAAAATACACAAATGACAAGAGAAAGACTGAAATTAAAGAATTCTAAAACTTACTATTAAAATCATATTCAAAGTATCTTAAATTAAGACCAATGATTGTTATGCTACTTGGCTCTGGCTCATTCGGGATGCATATTTTTTATTCTTGCCTTAGGTAAAAAATTAAAGACAGATTTTATAATTATTTGGGAGTTCTTTGTAACAACTTTTCACTCAATGTTATATACTGCTTTCTGATAAATACCAATTTTTTTATAAGTTATTTATAATGATGCAGAAAAAAACTCATCAACTTGGGATATACTGAGGCAGTTTCAAAGCAATGGGAAATCAACTTCAGGCTCTTCAAATAAGAAATATTACATTCCATTTTCATAAGTACAAATTTCACAAAAATTTGATATAGTTTATAAAACTATAAAGCCTGCAATAGACATAAATTATTAAATAATTGTATGCTTTTAGGAGGAGGTTTTTACAAAATTATGAATATAAATAAATCTAGATTTTATATGCTAATAAAGGTAGGGCAAGAACAATGGGAGAAAAACAGAAAAAAATTAAATTAAAAACACTAATGTAAGCTAATACTGCTTACATATGAACATCAAGATGCCAAGGGACCCAATACAATCCTCAGTCTAACATTTTCAATGGCACAGCCTAGTGATCACACGATACTGGTGATACTCTCTAGTTACCCCTGGCAACCTTTCTCAACTGTAACGATGCTACCCTACAATAGCTTTCACTGGGCAGCTTTCTCTTCACTTAGCTGAATGCTCTGGGACCATCTGCGTCGGCAAGCATAAAAGGCCAGCCTGCCTGTGGGCCCGTCACTCTGAACACCACCTCTCTGACCCTGATTAAATACAACTTTCAATCCTTTTTGTCCTCCCTGTTGACTTCTCCTATTAAGGGAGCCCTTTGACAAAGAAAGCGGAAGAGTGGACTAACTGCCCCCAAGAAAGGTGATGTCTGATACTGCTCAACACAAGGATTAGCAAGCCAATACATAACAAAAGCAAGTTTGAGGGGGAGGGGAGAGGTAAAGAAAAAAATGGTTTTAGCTAGAGCTTTGACTAATTCAGTAGGTACACAATTCAACAAATAGCTATACAAGAGGCCTTCTTTCAGAGAAGTAACTATAGCAGAACAATAATTTGGAGAGATACCTTTCAATATCTTGACATAAGGCCATGACATTGACAAAAACACCATATTTGTTTTTTATTTGATTTTTTTTGATTAAAAAGGAAACATAATTAAGGACAAGAAAGATGGTGAGAAAGAGAAAATATAAAGAAATCATAATTGTAACTTACTGTCTTGTTAGAAAACAAGGTAGCAAGGCTTATTAAACTGACATGTGAGTACTTAAATATTTTAATAAAAGTGAAAAAAACCCTTAAACATTCCAAAGAATTATTTTTGTAACTCATCATGTTATACATTCATGTTGACAAGTCATAAAAACTTCAATTTAAAAGGTCTAGTATTATAGAATAAATTGGCTTTAATATGAAGAGTTCATTTTAAAATGTCTAGGGCAAGATGGAAACTTATAAATATATGATCCACGGTTCTTTAAGGTAGTCTAAACCCACCAACAGGGTAAAAGATCAAAATTATCACCTTCAATAATTCCACCACTTCACAAATAACTCATAAGTCTTCCTGTCCTCATATTTGGCCAACTAATAAATGAAGGGTCTGACTGGCTAAACCAACAAAGTGACTGAGTAATGCAAAAAAAATTCCTAATACATCTTGAAAGGTTAAAATAAATAAGCACCATCACTTAAGGAACTCTATTCAGGTTTACTTAAAAGTCTAATTTGTAAAATGAAACTTCTCTGTATTCAAAGAATGGCCAATAAGCCTAGGAATGTCAAAAGAGAGAGGCGAGAAGAGAGTGAAGAAGGAGGTGCCTAGAATACATGGGATTTTCAGTATTAAAGCTGGGAAAAACCTGGATAAACAGGGGCAAACTGGCCACCCTAGGGAGGGAAGCCACATATATGAAGAAACTATTAAAACTTAATAAGCACTGTGCAAGATTCTTTCATAGAACTTAACTCATTTATTCTTTACAATAAACCCGCTGAGGAAAGAATTTCTTAAAATGAAGAAATCTAGCTAATTATAAGGATAAGTAATCTCAACAACGCTTCTCTGTTAGAAGAACAGGAATTAGAATTTGACTGCTTATCTTCAAAGCCCACATTTCTATCATAACGTGTTTCCTCTATAGGAGTTAAATAGGAAGAGGAAGGAGTCATCATTTTCCTTCAGAAGAGAGAGGACTTGGCAAACCCAGGAGGTCCATATTCCACATATGCCTGATCATATTATATTCTAGAGAGCTACAGAAAAACAATGCTATGCTTGTTTTGTTCTACAAACTATAGTAACATTGAAGTTTTGAAGTTAATAAAAGCGTTGAACTCTTTAGAAAATATATGGACAAAAATATTCCTATGTTGTTAGAACAATTCCTTATTGCTGGATTTCTTGATGCTGGGAACTGGCTCCTATGGGAAATGTTTGGTACAGAAGTTGGAATCAGGGGGTAGAGAATGATCAGAACTATAATCCAGGCAGGATTAGATACAATACTGGAAGGAGGTTACATTTTCCCTTTCTAAGGATTTCTGGTCCCCAACAGTTTCACTACAAAAATACTCCACGCATTTTTACTATAATCAATAAGACTTTAGTACCTATTCTTAGTTGAAAGGTCTAAGGATTACTCTCCTCTCCAGTAGGCTATTCTATCAGCCAAATAGCATAGGGTAGTTTTTTGGTAATAATTAGAAGTGAATCAACCTACTCAGACAGTCCAACACCTGAGCCAAATTAAAAGTTTTTGAGGAGACAATAAAAACTAATCCACAATCCTCCTCCTCATCATTATTGCTATTAGTTCTTTATGAACACATGCATTCTATATCCCATGTAATGATGGACAGTAAAAAGAAACAGTAAAACATCGATCTCTCTTTGGAATTTTATACTATAGGGGGAGCAAAAACAACAAAGAAAAGCATAAACTGTAAGGTAATTAAAGTTACACAAGCTCAGAGAAGTGAAAAATTCGGGGAAAGGAAGGTCTTTTATAGAACTTCAGAGAAAGACAGAGCTCAATTAATTGGAAAAGGTATGAGGAGAGTGTTAAAGACAGATAGAAAGCAGGCTAGTGAGTAGCATTACTAGAATACAAGGAATTATATACAAAAGAGCTAAACTTTATTTTTTAGGAAATTACAAACCATTTAAGGTTTTTAGAGAAGGGGAAAATACATTCAGGCAATATTTTTTAAAATTAGCCTGGCTGTGATGAGTGTAAAGATAGTAGTACAAGTAACTGACTATGTTCTCATAAATTATTTCGTGAATATTTTAAATACAAATTTCTTTGTAAATCTTTTGATTCTCATATTCAATCCTAAACACTCACAGAATTACTCCAGGTAAACAATGACAACACCACTATTATTAGGTATAGGGTCCAAAGGTCAGGTAATATTTTGAAATCAAAACAGCAAAAATCACCTTTCCATAATTCCAATATTCCAAATAAAAGGCTGTGTCTGACCCAAAAAAGGTCATATCATAAAAGACTCACTCTAACAAAAGCCCATTTTAAGAAAAAAAAACTTGGCTGATTTAAAAATCTCCCTGTTTCTCCCACCTACACCTGTAACATATAGGAGATCGGTGGTTTGAACTCTGATAGAAGGAAGGACAAGACTCAGAGACCTAAGGGGAAAGACAATATTCAAGGGAAGTTACAAGTGACACCTACATTAAAAATATTACAAACTGCTTATGGAGGTTCCTTGGAAAACTGGGAATTGAACCACCTTTTGATCCAGCTATCCCACTCCTTAGTGTATGCCCAAAGGACTTAAAAACAGCACACTCCAGGGACACGGTCACATCAATGTTTACTGCAGCACAATTCACAATAGCTAAATTGTGGAACCAACCTAGATGCCCTTTATTAGATGAATGAATTTAAAAAAATATGGCATATATACACAATGGAATATTACTCAGCAATAAAAGAGAATAAAATCATGGCATTTGCAAATAAAGGAATGGAGTTGGGGAATATAATGCTTAAGTGAAGTTAGCCAATCCCCAAAAAAACAAATGCCAAATGTTTTCTCTGAAATAAGGAGGCTGATTCATAGCGAGGTTGGGAGGGGGCAAAAGGGAAGGAGGTGAAGGGAGGGGACATGGGGGGGGTAGGAAAGATGTGGAATGAGATGGACATCATTACCTTAAATACATGCATGAAGACAGAATGGTGTGAATATACTTTGTATACAACCAGAGATATAAAAAATTGTGCTCTATAAGTGTAACATGAATTGTAATGCATTCTGCTGTCATATAACAAATTAAAATAAAAAAATTTAAAAAATTACAAACTGCTGTAAGAATTTCACATCATTACTAGTTGGAATATCAATCCTTCACAAAGGAAATATCAGTTGAGATAATTTTGAAGTTATTACTGAGTTCTGTCAGATTGAGATGAGATGAACCATTCCAGGTAGAAATGGATAAGCAACAGCAAAAGTAGTGATGTTTGCAAGGTATTCAATACATTGCTATAATCTAGCATCCATAACTTTAGGCTTTTATTTGAATTATGACATGCCTGTTGATTTGATCATGGTGTATTGATTAGACACCTTGTTTTTCTTCCTTTCACTGAACATTGTCTCCAAGTAGCTTCTAAACACTTAGAAGGGTTCTGTCAACCGAAATCCCTGACTCCTATATAGTGTTTTTGCACAGGAAATCTGGGTTAACTGTAGATGTCTAAAAGAGTATGAAGAAATATTTGGTTTAATCTCCCAAATGATGGAGAAATCCCTATTGAAAATAAGGAAACTCCTATGTATTACTTATATTTTAAATTATTTTAATTTGTAAATAGACTGTGCATCTACAAACAGGTTAGCAATTTTGAGGAACTGTACATTGTTATTAACTACAGTATAATAAGAAAAGCATTAGGTCTCAAACACATGACTTTATCTTCTCTATTTGTGTCTCCAGACACAAAATTAGATTAACAACTGTTTTGATGACCTCCTCTGACACTGTGAGGATTACATGATATGTAAAAACACTTAAATCCTAAAGCACTATACAATATATATTCTACCATCATTTAGGTTGGCTTATATGTAACGTAACAGTAAAAACTTATTTTTAATAGATTTAAACCTAGAGAAAGAAGTTGGGAAACAACAATTTTTTGATTTCTTATGACAATGCAGTATACTTCAGGCCTATGATTTGCTTTATTGTTAAGCGACGGGGGGAAGAGAATAAAAAATATCTTCTATCACCAACTCATTTTTTATTAGAATTGTGTCAATGGATTTTAAGTCTTATTGCTCTTCTTACCAGCTATCTTAAAAATTGTTTTCAGAAACAGAACAACACATTAGCACTTAAGTTGCTGCACCCAGAACAGTTAGGTACATAACAGACATCAAAAATATCAAAAGTGAATAAATTTTAAAATGGTTTGGGGCTGGGGACATAGCTCAGTGATAGAGCACTCCCAGACTCAATCTTCAGTATAGAAAAAATAAAAGTTTTATTTCCTGACATGTCACCCACCATTCACTGACATGATTTTTCACTCCTTTCTTTCTACCCTGGACACTCTTCAAAAAATTTTACTTTGAAACTCAATAGTGAGCAATGAGACTTTAGTATTTCCTGACATCATCAGTTTTCTTAAGAAAATAGGAATAACAATACCTACTTGGTGTGAAGAATTAAATGAGCTAAAGAATATAAAAATACATAAGGTATTTTTATGCTGTCTTGTATGTATAATCTTAAAATTTACAGAAGTAGAGCGTAGAATAGTGGTTACCAGGAAATGATTGGGATGGGAGTTGGGAAAATGTTGGTCAAAGGATACAGAATTTCAGTTAGAAGTAAGTTCACATGTACAACATGGGGACTGTAGTTAATAACAATATACTGTATTCATCAAAATTGCTAAGACTAAGTCTTTTGTCCCCTCAGGGAAGGTTTCACTAAATTTCCCAGTCTGGATTCCAACTTGCAATTCTCCTGCCTCAGACTCCCAAGCTGCTGGGATTACAGATGTATGCCTCTACTAAATCCACCCCCCACCAACTAAGAGTAAACCTTAAGGGTTCTCACAACAAAAAAAGTACAGTATGTGAAGTAATACATATATTAATTAGCTTGATCTAGCCATTCCACAATATACATATTTCTTTTTTAAAAAAATTATTTATTTATTTATTTATATGTGATGCTGAGGATCGAACCCTGATCCTCATGCCTGCCAGGCAAGCGCTCTACCACTGAGCCACAACTCCAGCCCCAATATACATATTTCAAAATATCACACTGTATATAATATATACATATATACACACTTATAAAATTTTCTGACAATTTAGGTAAATAATGAAAAAAACACAAAAAATACATATAAAATAGTGTCACGCACAGAAAAGATAGGTTTCTTTCCTTCCTTGTTAGTTTAAATCACTAACAAAGGAAATATGTCAAGTTTAACTTAAAAGATATTACTACAACAGGGCCCGGTAGCACACGCCTATAATCCCAGCAACTTGGGAGGCTGAGGTAGGATTGGAAGTTCAAAGCAAGCCTCAGCAACTTAGTGAGACCCTGTCTCAAAATAAAAAAATAAAAAGGGTTGGGGATGTGGCTCAGTGATTAAGCATGCCTGGGTTCAATCCCAGATACCAAAAAAAGAAGAAAGAAAGAAAAGAAAAAGAAAAAAATACCATTATAGTAAAAGATTTGTTCTGACAAATTATTTTCCATAGCAATATATGTAGGAAATGTACTCCCCACTGTATTAGATAATATGTTATATTGTATAGTACATTAAATATTTCACAATATGTTCGTATATATTTTCTATATGGCCACAAAAAACCTAACAAACTGAGCAAAAGAGTATCATTGTAATGATAAAAATGCTGATCCCTGAAGACACTGGATTTCTATGGCTTCAGTTAAAATTTTTATGTTGATTTACTCCTATGCATTTAGCCATCTTGGTTCCCTTTGTGCTTGGTCAATTCCTTTTTGGACAGCTTTAATTAGATAGCCTACAGGCACTTCAAATTAAATGTTAAAAACTAACTCATATTTCCCCCTTTCCCAGGCTTGATCATCCTCTACTATTCACACATATAGGAATGGTACCATCACTTCTCATCTCTTTCCAAAAGCAAACAGTCTCTTTAAAGTTTCATTTACCTTTACCTATCCAACCCTCTGACCTCCATTCTTGGGCCAAATTGACTTGTAAATTACAAATCTGATCATGTCACTATCTTAATAAAAATCTCTTCAAGAAACTTGAATTTTCTGGGCATTCTACAAAGAAAGCCCTTGATAATCTGACCTCAGTTTACTACTCCAGATTAATCTGCCACTACTTTCCATCACCTTTATACCCTATGCTCTAGCTATACCTAATTATACATAAATCTTTAAACAACCCAATAGCAGTTGAGTTATATATACCTTCTATTTCCTGAATCTCTTTCTTACACTCTCTTTCTTCTATGTCCATTTTTGTTTAACTTATTCTTATCCAACAAGACTTGCTTTAGTTTGCCTCCAGGAGTTTTCCTTGATCTTCTAAAACTGAATTAGAAGTTCTTCCCATAATATCCTATATTTATATCTATCAAGAAAGATATTTGTCTCATTGTATTGTAAGTATCCATTTATGTGCCTGACTATTAAGCTATGAACTAGCTACTTGAAGGTAATACCAGTGTATCTTTTTCTTTTTTCTTTTTCCCTGTACTGGAGATTAAACCAAGGAGTACTTTATTTTTTCTTAATTTTGAGACAGGATCTTGTTACATTGCTGAGGCAGGCTTTGAACTTGTAATTCTCCTGCCTCAGCCTCCCAAATTGCTGGGATTATAGTTGTGCAACATTGAACCTGGATAATACCACATGTTTAACATTTAATAATTTCCCACTGTATTTTTAAATTGCAATGTCAACTGTTTCCATGCTGAATCCCTTCTTTTGCTTATTTGAATCTGCTAATTTTTTGTGATGTTGAGGATTGAACCCACGGTGCTCTACCACTGACCTATATCACCAGCTCTTTTTTTTTTTTTTCACTTTGCAAACTCCATTTTTATTTGGATTAAAAAGCTTTAAATGAACAAACATATGATACATACATGTTATAAGACTAGTAACCACTTAAACCTCAGATGATGATATGATACAGAAATTAGAATAAACCAAATTTTAATCAGGTCTGGAAAGGTTCAAGCTGAGAAGTTAATACCATCAATTTGGGGGATTTTACACAAGTAACTGTCCTCCCCTCTAATGTTTAAAAATAGTAACTTCTCTAAAACAGTAGAAGAAAGACTACTCAGCATAAAGAAGAATTACATATTCTAGGATATTAGAAGCACAGGATGAGAATTTGAAAACCATTAACATTTTAAGCTATCCTGTATATTTAAGTTACTGGGACAAACATATAAACAGCTTTATGTTGTATTCAGAATCTGACATACTATTCTATCTAAAAGCGAATCTTTTCTTCTAAAAAATTAATGCATTTTGTAGAAGAATGCATTTCCAATTTTGTACTGAAAAATCAGTGAGAAAACAGGATTTGTTATACCCACACACATATAGGGTTTGAACAGCATTATAGACAACTTTTCTCCTAAGTGAGATATAACTATCATGTTTTAGTAGAATACTTATGGAGAAATTAGCCATTATAAATTATTCAATGGAACAAATGCTTACCCACATTCCTTACGATGCTCAGTAAAAGAA